CTCTCTCTCTCTCTCTCTCTCTCCCTCTCTCCCTCTCTCCCTCTCCCTTAAAAAAAAAAAGAATATTATTGGGGGCTGGGGTTGTGGCTCAGTGGTAGAGCGTTTGCCTAGCATGTGTGAGGCCCTGGGTTTGATCTTCAGCACCACATAAAAATAAACAAATAAAGGTATTGTGTCCAACTACAACTAAAAAATAAATATCTAAAAAAAAAAAAGAATATTATTGGTCTGGGTGCAGAGGCATACCCTTAGAATCCCAGGTACTCAGGAGGCTGAGGCAGAAGGATCTCAAGATTGAGGCTAGCCTGGGCAATTTAGCAAGACCCTGCCTTAAATATAAGAAGGGGCCAGGCGCAGTGGTGCATGCCTATAATCTCAGTGGCTTGGGAGGCTGAGGCAGGAGGATCTGGAGTTCAAAGCTAGCCTCAACAATTAAGTGAAGCTCGAAGAAACTCAGTGAGAGTTTAGAGACCCTGTCTCTAAATAAAATACAAAAAAAAAAAGGCTGGGGATGTGGCTCAGTGGTTAAGTGCCCCTGAGGTCAATCCCCGGTACTAAAAATAAAAACAAATAAAAAGGGATGGAGATGTGGCTCAGTGGTAGATGACCCCTGGATTCATCCCCAATACTGTCATTAAAAAAAAAAAAATGTGGGCAGGAGCTCAGTGCGAGAGCACTTGCCTAGCATTTGTAAAGCCTGGGTTCAATCCCCAGTATTGCAAAATAAATAAATAAATAAAATTATTGAAACAATTATAAAAAATTTTAAGAAGTTCTATAGATTAAACAATATTATTTTGAGTTGTTTCCTATATGAATATTGCCTGATCTTAGAAAATATACACTTAAGTATTGAGTAATAGGATATCATGACTGAAATTTGCTTGGATATGGTTCTGTGTGTATGTGTGTGTAAGAAGTTTTAAATACTGGAAGATCAAAAATTTATTTATTTTAGTTTCCTAAGGAAAACCCCATGAAAATAATTATAGGTGGTGGTGGGGACATTATCAATTTTACTGGCAGAAAGTAATTAGGACAAAAGGAGAGATGTCAACACATTTTTTGGAGATGGATAGAATGATTAATTTAGCATAACATTTAAAGCTAAAAACTTACTATGGCTAAAGCAAGCAGATTCTCATGTTAGACTTGTAGGGATCAGCAAACTACAACTCTTGAGCTAAATTCAACTCACAGGCTATTTTATAAATAAAGTCTTATTGGAATACACTGTGTTCACACTTACATGTTTATATACTGCCTATGGCGCCTTTCAAACTAAAACAGCAGAGATGAGTAGTTGACGCTGAAGCTCAGAATCTTTATTATCTGGCTCTTTGCAGAAAAAGCTTACCAACTTCTGCTTTAGAGCCCTGAAAATTTTTAGAAACTAGAGGTATCAGGAAGCTGTGAAGGCAAGGGGCAGGGAGATGTTGAAAGTGGGAATCTGCCTTAGGCCTTGAGGGTCCCTGCTTATTAATGCTGGGTATTCATTCGAAGAATGCAAGAATCTGATTTGCATTCTCTGACTCCTACCCAGGCCACTTCTTAGTCTTGTATTTGCAGAAAGCAACATTGAAGGTTGGTGCAATGCCACCCTACCCATCTCCTCAGAAAAAGAGTGGATATCTTCTGTAACAGAACTCTCTATGTGTGCAGGTATCTATTTGGGGGCCTTTGTTCCTGTGGGACTTGTGGCAAGGGAACTAACAGGAACATGAAGCTTTGGCTACTGCTTTTCCATGAATGATAAAGTTCTTTGTCTCTGACCTAGGAGTCTCTTATCTTCTGCTGTTATCCATGCAACAGTAACAGGCTAGGCTTATTAGTTTGGACATAAACTAAAATCTCTAGACACTAG